TGGGTCTTTATATTTTTAGGCTCAGAAAACCAATTTGATTGACCTAAAAAAACTGGGTCTTTATATTTTTAGGCTCGGAAAATTAATTTGATCGACCTAAAAAAACTGGGTTTTTATATTTTTAGGCTCAGAAAATCAATTTGGTCGACCTAAAAAAACTGGGTCTTTATTTTTTTAGGCTCGGAAAATCAATTTGGTTGACCTAAAAAAACTGGGTTTTTATATTTTTAGGCTCGGAAAATCAATTTGATCGACCTAAAAAAAAAGGGTCTTTATATTTTTAGGCTCAGAAAATCAATTTGATCGACCTAAAAAAACTGGGTCTTTATATTTTCAGGCTCGGAAAATCAATTTGGTCGACCTAAAAAAAATGGGTCTTTATTTTTTTAGGCTCGGAAAATCAATTTGATCGACCTAAAAAAACTGGGTCTTTTTTTTAGGCTCGGAAAATCAATTTGATCGACCTAAAAAAACTGGGTCTTTATATTTTTAGGCTCAGAAAATCAATTTGATCGACCTAAAAAAACTGGGTCTTTATATTTTTAGGCTCGGAAAATCAGTTTGGTTGACCTAAAAAAACTGGGTCTTTATTTTTTTAGGCTCGGAAAATCAATTTGATCGACTTAAAAAAACTGGGTCTTTATATTTTTAGGCTCGGAAAATCAATTTGATCGACCTAAAAAAACTGGGTCTTTATATTTTTAGGCTCAGAAAATCAATTTGATTGACCTAAAAAAACTGGGTCTTTATATTTTTCGGCTCGGAAAATCAATTTGATCGACCTAAAAAAACTGGGTCTTTATATTTTTAGGCTCGGAAAATCAATTTGATCGACCTAAAGAAACTGGGTCTTTATTTTTTTAGGCTCGGAAAATCAATTTGGTCGACCTAAAAAAAATGGGTCTTTATATTTTTAGGCTCGGAAAATCAATTTGGTCGACCTAAAAAAAAACTGGGTCTTTATATTTTTGGGCTCGGAAAATCAATTCGGTCGGCCTAAAAAAACTGGGTCTTTATTTTTTTAGGCTCGGAAAATCAATTTGATCGACCTAAAAAAACTGGGTCTTTATATTTTTAGGCTCGGAAAATCAATTTGATCGACCAAAAAAAAACTGGGTCTTTGTATTTTTAAACTCGGAAACTCAATTTGATTGACCTAAAAAAACTGGGTTTTTATATTTTTAGGCTCGGAAAATCAATTTGATCGACCTAAAAAAACTGGGTCTTTATATTTTAGGCTCGGAAAATCAATTTGGTCGACCTAAAAAAGCTGGTTCTTTATATTTTTAGGCTCGGAAAATCAATTTGGTCGACCTAAAAAAACTGGGTCTTTATATTTTTAGGCTCAGAAAATCAATTTGATCGACCTAAAAAAACTGGGTCTTTATATTTTTAGGCTCGGAAAATCAGTTTGGTTGACCTAAAAAAACTGGGTCTTTATTTTTTTAGGCTCGGAAAATCAATTTGATCGACTTAAAAAAACTGGGTCTTTATATTTTTAGGCTCGGAAAATCAATTTGATCGACCTAAAAAAACTGGGTCTTTATATTTTTAGGCTCAGAAAATCAATTTGATTGACCTAAAAAAACTGGGTCTTTATATTTTTCGGCTCGGAAAATCAATTTGATCGACCTAAAAAAACTGGGTCTTTATATTTTTAGGCTCGGAAAATCAATTTGATCGACCTAAAGAAACTGGGTCTTTATTTTTTTAGGCTCGGAAAATCAATTTGGTCGACCTAAAAAAAATGGGTCTTTATATTTTTAGGCTCGGAAAATCAATTTGGTCGACCTAAAAAAAACTGGGTCTTTATATTTTTGGGCTCGGAAAATCAATTCGGTCGGCCTAAAAAAACTGGGTCTTTATTTTTTTAGGCTCGGAAAATCAATTTGATCGACCTAAAAAAACTGGGTCTTTATATTTTTAGGCTCGGAAAATCAATTTGATCGACCAAAAAAAAACTGGGTCTTTGTATTTTTAAGCTCGGAAACTCAATTTGATTGACCTAAAAAAACTGGGTTTTTATATTTTTAGGCTCGGAAAATCAATTTGATCGACCTAAAAAAACTGGGTCTTTATATTTTAGGCTCGGAAAATCAATTTGGTCGACCTAAAAAAGCTGGTTCTTTATATTTTTGGGCTCGGAAAATCAATTCGGTCGACCTAAAAAAACTGGGTCTTTATTTTTTTAGGCTCGGAAAATCAATTTGATCGACCTAAAAAAACTGGGTCTTTATCTTTTTAGACTCGAAAAATCAATTTGATCGACCAAAAAAAAACTGGGTCTTTATATTTTTAGGCTCGGAAAATTAATTTGATCGACCTAAAAAAACTGGGTTTTTATATTTTTAGGCTCAGAAAATCATTTTGATTGACCTAAAAAAACTGGGTCTTTATTTTTTTAGGCTCGGAAAATCAATTTGATCGACCTAAAAAAACTGGGTCTTTATATTTTTAGGCTCGGAAAATCAATTTGATCGACCAAAAAAAAACTGGGTCTTTGTATTTTTAAGCTCGGAAACTCAATTTGATTGACCTAAAAAAACTGGGTTTTTATATTTTTAGGCTCGGAAAATCAATTTGATCGACCTAAAAAAACTGGGTCTTTATATTTTAGGCTCGGAAAATCAATTTGGTCGACCTAAAAAAGCTGGTTCTTTATATTTTTAGGCTCGGAAAATCAATTTGGTCGACCTAAAAAAACTGGGTCTTTATATTTTTGGGCTCGGAAAATCAATTCGGTCGACCTAAAAAAACTGGGTCTTTATTTTTTTAGGCTCGGAAAATCAATTTGATCGACCTAAAAAAACTGGGTCTTTATCTTTTTAGACTCGAAAAATCAATTTGATCGACCAAAAAAAAACTGGGTCTTTATATTTTTAGGCTCGGAAAATTAATTTGATCGACCTAAAAAAACTGGGTTTTTATATTTTTAGGCTCAGAAAATCATTTTGATTGACCTAAAAAAACTGGGTCTTTATTTTTTTAGGCTCGGAAAATCAATTTGATCGACCTAAAAAAACTGGGTCTTTATATTTTTAGGCTCGGAAAATCAATTTGATCGACCAAAAAAAAACTGGGTCTTTGTATTTTTAAGCTCGGAAACTCAATTTGATTGACCTAAAAAAACTGGGTTTTTATATTTTTAGGCTCGGAAAATCAATTTGATCGACCTAAAAAAACTGGGTCTTTATATTTTAGGCTCGGAAAATCAATTTGGTCGACCTAAAAAAGCTGGTTCTTTATATTTTTAGGCTCGGAAAATCAATTTGGTCGACCTAAAAAAACTGGGTCTTTATATTTTTGGGCTCGGAAAATCAATTCGGTCGACCTAAAAAAACTGGGTCTTTATTTTTTTAGGCTCGGAAAATCAATTTGATCGACCTAAAAAAACTGGGTCTTTATCTTTTTAGACTCGAAAAATCAATTTGATCGACCAAAAAAAAACTGGGTCTTATTATTTTTAGGCTCGGAAAATTAATTTGATCGACCTAAAAAAACTGGGTTTTTATATTTTTAGGCTCAGAAAATCATTTTGATTGACCTAAAAAAACTGGGTCTTTATATTTTAAGGCCCGGAAAATCAATTTGATCGACCTAAAAAAACTGGGTCTTTATATTTTTAGGCTCGGAAAATCAATTTAATCGACCTAAAAAAACTGGGTCTTTATATTTTTAGGCTCGGAAAATCAATTTGGTCGACCTAAAAAAACTGGGTCTTTATTTTTTTAGGCTCGGAAAATCAATTTGGTCGACCTAAAAAAACTGGGTCTTTATATTTTTAGGCTCGGAAAATCAATTTGATAGACCAAAAAAAAACTGGGTCTTTGTATTTTTAAGCTCGGAAACTCAATTTGATTGACCTAAAAAAACTGGGTTTTTATATTTTTAGGCTCGGAAAATCAATTTGATCGACCTAAAAAAACTGGGTCTTTATATTTTAGGCTCGAAAATCAAATTGGTCGACCTAAAAAAGCTGGGTCTTTATATTTTTAGGCTCGGAAAATCAATTTGGTCGACCTAAAAAAACTATGTCTTTATATTTTTAGGCTCAGAAAACCAATTTGATTGACCTAAAAAAACTGGGTCTTTATATTTTTAGGCTCGGAAAATTAATTTGATCGACCTAAAAAAACTGGGTTTTTATATTTTTAGGCTCAGAAAATCAATTTGATTGACCTAAAAAAAACTGGGTCTTTATATTTTAAGGCTCGGAAAATCAATTTGATCGACCTAAAAAAACTGGGTCTTTATATTTTTAGGCTCGGAAAATCAATTTAATCGACCTAAAAAAACTGGGTCTTTATATTTTTAGGCTCGGAAAATCAATTTGGTCGACCTAAAAAAACTGGGTCTTTATTTTTTTAGGCTCGGAAAATCAATTTGGTCGACCTAAAAAAACTGGGTCTTTATGTTTTTAGGCTCGGAAAATCAATTTGGTCGACCTAAAAAAACTGGGTCTTTATATTTTTAGGCTCGGAAAATCAATTTGGTCGACCTAAAAAAATCGACCAAATTCTACCCCCCTCAAGAAAATACTAAATCCGCCCCTACTATTTACGAACGACATGTGTTTTGTAAATCATATTCCTTATTTTTTTGTATAAAATGCTTTTGATGCCTATATATATTAAGGGATTAAGGGTCCCTTTGCCCCTTTATATGAGAGGGCAGCGTTTTTCGGTCAAAATTTTTCCAGAAGGTGCCTAAAAACGCCTTATTTGGCCTGTTTTTCAAGTTTTTGCCTGCGGCGCACAAATTTTACCAAAATAAGGTGTTTTAGTGCTTTGGGAGAGCTCGGAATTTTTTCACTTTGCTCGACCTAAAAAAAAGTCGACAAATTTTATAACTTTTTTTGTAATTCCGCAACCCCCCCCCCCCCCCCCCCAAAAAAAAAATCCTAGATCCGCCTCTGAATAGTAATATAAAAAAATTATATATATTTATATATATATATATATAAATCTATTTTCTTAACAAAACCCAAAATGTGACCAAACCTTGGCGGCCATGTGCAGAGGTGTCTGGAGTGAGTCGCCAGCCGCCAGTTGGACATCCGCCCCAAATCCCAGCAGTGTCTGCACCACCATCGGCTTACACCCCTCCACCGCCAAGTGCAGGGGGGTGTGGCCTGGAACAATGATGTTAAAACACTACATTGTCTCAATATTTTTTAGTATACTTATTATAATAACTGAATGTTTTTGTCGTCCACAAACGAAACAACAAATATCGAAAATAGAAAATTCGAGCCTAGCTCTAAAATCTTCGTCCAAATGTAGAAAATCTGATTATAATTATTAGATTAACTGGACTAGTTATAATTATATATAAGTAACCTAGTTTGTTGGTAGTGTTGGCCTCCGCCCCCGCCTCGCAGAGACTCCTGACGACTGCCACGTGACCCTGAGTGGCTGCTTCGTGCAGACAATTGGACCCCACCTAGGGAAGTTAGTTGTTGCAATCTACTACCCCATTGCAATCTGCTTTTTGATCTCTAAATCTTATTTCGATGAATACTGGCGTTTGACATCAGCTTATGGGCAGATACTGTAGTTTGTCTTCCTCTTTCAGAATAACTAGACGTGTTGAGACTATCTACGTGTATGTGTGTGTAAATGCATACCTTGTTGGGCATCCTTAGAGGGACCCCCTTCTTGAGGAACATGAGGGCAGTGTCCGGGTGGCCACAGTGGGAGGAGATGTGCAGCAGGGTGCTCCCGTCCTACACTCCACAGGTGCGAATTACAAAACATATGACATAATACAATTATTTTAGACCTTAGATATCTATCTATACTCAATCGCCTCAAGTCTGCAAGCTTTCACTACGTGTAATGAAGGTTGTGGACAAATAATTGGAGCCGCTGAAGTGCTTGGTGTGCAGCCAATGATTTATTATATCTTACAACATTGTCATTCATGTAGCTTTTCTTTGGTTGCGACATGATGAAACCACCATAGTAGTATAAAGTACATTTACAATAGTGAAGTGTGAGTGTGTGAATGGAGTGGAGTACCTTAGTCCTGGCGGCGATGGAAGCATGGAACCTGTCGATGAGTATCTCCACCACCCCCGTGTGACCCCTCTCTGCTGCTATGTGCAGGGCACTCCTGTCCATCTAAAACACACAACATAAACCTACTCATACTCAGAAGCGGATATAGAAGGGGGTCTGCATTGCCGACCCAAACGATCCCCTTTGCTACTATTTTAGGACATCCGATTTGGGCTCACTTACACTAAAATTTTCTAATGGAGCCAATGTATATTAACTTTGAAGAAAGGTGCGCGCCAAAAAAATGAGGTAGAAAATCCAAAATATGGTTAAAAACGAGTTTTTTGGCCAGTTTTTTCAAAAAGTTGCCCGCGGCGCTAAAAGCCCCTATATTAGCCTCTATATAGTGATTATAAGGGCGTCTTTACAGTTATTTGGGAGAGCTCAGAAAATCATTTTGGTCAACCTGAAAAGCTTCGATAAGATTTTTGAAAACTTTTTGAAAATCCACACCCATCGAAAAAAACTTGACCCGCCACTGCTCACACTCAACACACATGATGCATCGAATCACAGTGGGGAGAGAATTTCCCATCAAAGAAGAAAGCAAATAATGGTTCAAAAATGGACTTTATATCACTTTAGGTCAGAAATGTCAAGATTTAGGTCTTGCCTAGTTGAATTATAATTTGAAATGTCTAACTGAAATGAAAAGCCGAAATTAAATCAACAGATTCACTCAATGAAACAGGCGAGCAGAAAAATTTTAAGAGTTTGAATTCGACTAAAACTAAATTTAGTTTGAATTTTTATAGTGTAAACATTTAAGTTTAAAACAAGTTAAATGGGCTGTAGCACACCCTTGCTTACAAAACTTTTCATCGGTAATCTTCCCGATTGCTTGAAAATTGCAAAACTTATCTCATTGCTTAAGAAAGTAGAACTTTCTAATCCAATGAATTATCTTTGCCTATTTCACTGCTTCAAGTATTATTGCATGCATAAAAGAAGTATATTTTATTTCAATAGCAGGCTTAAGTTGTTTGCAAAAGAACACTCTGGTATTCGAAACAGTATGGGAACAATTGATGCGATGATTTTTCAATAGAGGTTATAAGAACAATCACACTGACCAATAAGGACTCGGTGAATTTTTTCAGTCCAGAGGAAAGCGTTTGTAACTGCTCGGTTCTCAGACCGCTTTTATTGTTCCGACTTTCGATACGAAAGTAATGGAATATTTGTGCTCGGGGTGGTTTTTTTTTTTCAGACAAATTTCGACTTTTTAAGTAGCCATTTTTGACTGAATTTTTTAATATCATTCGAAAGTTATTGTTGTCCTGAGCTCAAATATGAAAAGATATGTTACCTGTGATCATTTTTCGTGAAGTAACGGGGGTTTAAAGATTGCCATTTCGGCCAATTTGGTACAATTAACGCGCGATATATTTCGCGCTATTAACGCGTAAGCGGAGAGTTAATCCGTCTTTGAAATTGTTCCAAATCGGTTACAAGAAGCTTATTTGCCATAATTTATTTGTTACAAGGAGCGAAATCTATCCTTTTGTACTTAGTATGGCGTGTGGGGGGATGATTTTCATTTAAAAATTTCAATTTTTAGAAATTTTTTTTTTTCATTTTGTTTTATTTCAGTGAATTTTTTAAATGTTATTACTGCTCCATAAACCTTAAAAGGCAGTCGGAACACTCAGGGCTTCGCCCTGATACGAGCAGTCTTGTTCATATTTTTATTAATAACTTTTATAGTAAGCTTCCTTCAACCACTTTGGAACAATTTCTAAGACGGAATAAATTTCCAATTGCGCGTAAATAGTGCGAAATATATCGCGTATTAATTGTCCCAAATTGGCCGAAATGGCAACCTTTAAACCCATATAACGTTACGAAAAAAGATCCCAGGTGAAATATTTTTTCAAATTTAAGCTCAGAACGACAATAAATTTTGAATGATGTGAAAAAGTTCCGTCAAAAATGGCTAGTTAAAAAGTCGAAATTTGTCTGAAGAAAAAAACACCCACACCGAGCACAAATATTCCGTATCTTTTGTTATGAAAGTCGGATCAAAAAAGTACCTTTAATCTTCCTGTGTGTTCTTAGCTTTTCGTTTTTTCCCTCTTCCAATTTTTTCAGCAAATTTTAAAAATGGTTTAACGAATTTATTTAAAATTGGCAATGACACATTGTTTTCAGTTCACATAGATAAGAAAATTATAATAAAATTATGATAAATATGATTTGGAAAAAATTAGCCTGAAAAAATTATGATAAATATGATTTGGAATGGACATCAAAGGATTTTAACTGAAACAAAAATTGACACTTTTGCCTAACAATTAACAAAACCAATTCAAAAGGACTGCCGCAGTGTAGTGAAAACCATCCAAAATCTTAAAAACTTGAAATGTAAATAAATCAATCCAAGAAAATTTTCTGTCTGGGTAACAGGGAGTAACAGACGCCTATGTATAAAAATCTACCGCAAACCATAGTTTTTGATTTTTATAGGCTCCCTCCTTAAAAATGAGTAATAATTGAAAAGTTTTCTTAAAAAGAAAAATTGTAATTTAATGTCTTTTCAGCGTTCCGAGCAGTCATCTTTAAAATTAGGAAACATATTTTGAGAAATACTTAGAAGAAATACATAGAAATACAAAGAAAAATAAGCTAATAGAAATACCAAGAAATGGAAAATACTTTAAATTTGTGAAATTACATTAATTCAAATATAGTGTCGCACTTTTTTTCATTAACAATTAAAGTGTATGGAAACTTTAGAAATTGCAAATGAAAAAAAATTAATCTAATCGACTTTTTTTTTCATTCGATTAAGTATTTCTCAAATTAAATGTGTAGATAAATGTGAAGTTTTGGATTTTAAAAAGTGTGAAAAGTGGTTAAAACTCTAATAACCCGCTTGGGTCTTAATTGTTGCATTTTGGTGACGATGAACTGACCTTGTCGAATATGTGGGCACTGGCTCCTTTCTGCTGGAAGTAGCGGATGATCTCCTCATGGCCCTCCCAGGCGGCCACGTGCAGTGCTGTATGGCCCTCGTTCTAGTCACAACACAGAAGGACATACACATTATTACTGAAATAGGTATAGCTCTTGCTTTATTCATAACAAATTTCTGTTCAAGAAAGGAATAGACTTGATTATTATTTAAACAACTTATAGCAATAATAAAAATTCACAATTACTAATACTTTTTACAAAAATTTACAATAGACAGTTCCGAGATGATAACGAGAAGTCACATGCAACGAGCTCTATGAGCATAACCACAAACAACAACAACAACAGCATCAGCAACACAGTTCGTGTCGGCACAGTTTTTGAACATACTTTGCTTACTTATACCATCTTCAGCACCAAACTTTAGAAATCATAAATCTGGGTTTTTTGAATTGAAAACTACTTTTTCAGAACTATTATCCACACATTTGTTCATTCAAAGAAATGACAGCAAAAGTAATGGAGTTGGCAAGTCCATCAATCTTTGAAAAATTTTGAAGGTTCTTTGTTAAATCTTAGAGAAAATCTTGGCTGTCTTGACAATTTTGTGCCAAAGAATCTTGAATGATCTCAAAAGTTTCTTGAAGAAAACACAAAGATAGCAAAGATTTTTATAAGAACTTTTTTGACGATTTGCGAAGAAGATGGGAGATTTTACTTTCAAGTTTTTCCAAGATTTCAAAAACAATTTTTGGCCTTTTTTTATGAGAAGGCCGATTTCTTTTTTTTAAATCTTGGAAAATCTTGAAATGAAAATCGCTTTTCTTACTTTTTCCAAAAAATCTTAGATTAATCTTCAATACGAGTCATATTGAAGATTAATCTAAAATTTTCTGAAAAAAAAATTAAAACTAAGCAAGGCCAAGTTGAGTGAGTGCTTACATTTTGGGCGTCGATGGGAGCTCCCTGATCGCAGAAGAGTCTCACCAAATCCATCTGTCTGCTTCTACACGCAATGTGTAACACAGTGTCCCCGGATAGCTAAAACACAACACAGTAAAAAACCATACTACTCTTATTGGTTACTTTTTTCAGATGCGAGTTAAAAAGTTTTAGCGAGGGGGTTAAATAACAGGTAACAGCTGAATAACTGATCAAAAATGGATTTTGTAAATATTTAAATAAGATCTTATTTGGGCTGAAGTAGAAAATTTGGGTCATACTTTTGAAGAAAAAAGTTTTCAAGGGACTGACTGTCTTTGAAAACTGTTTGGATCTTCTCAGAAATCTGTCACTGATTTAACTACAACGCTTTAAGATTGTTGCTTTCTGAACTTTTTTATTTTGACCTGGAATTTAACAGTAAAAATTCGAAAGTCTGACTAAACACGTTTTTTCTTTTTAACACCACATTTCTTGATATAAATAAATTCATGTTTTTGGATCTGGTAAAATGCGGACAAATAAAAGATAACGCCTTCAAGGAAAGAAAACAATCAGGTATGTAGTCAAACCCGCGTCGAGGTGCTCGACTTATGTCTCAACTTTGAAAGACATACCCGATTCTTTGTCGAGACACCCGATTGTGGTCGAAAAATTCAAAACTTGCCATTTTTCGGTCGAGAAACTCAAAACATAGGCTGAGAAAGTCAAAACATATCCAATTTTGGTCGAGAAAGTCGAAACATAGGTCGAAAAAGTCAAAGCATACCCAATTTCGGTCGAGAAAGTCGATATATAGGCCGAGCACATTCGAAACATAGGTCGAGCTGGGTCGAAACATAGGTCGAGCAGGGTCCAAACATAGGTCGAGCAGGGTCGAAACATAGGTCGAGCACAGTCGAAACATACGCGATTTTGGTCGAGAAAGTCGAAACATAGATTGAGCACAGTCGAAACATATCTATGCGGGGTCAAACAAACATAGTTTCAAAATATATGTTGGCCCAGAAAGTCAAGAAAGTCGAAACATATCGGAACTGGGTTGAACAAAGTCGAAACATACCTAATTGGGTCGAGAAGTTAAACCTAAGTTAAACCATTGGTCGAGAATGTCAAAAAATGCCCATTTTTGGTCAGGAAAGTCAAAAAATAGGACGAGACAATCAAAACATAGGTCAAGAAAGTCAAAACATACTAGTTTTGGTCGAGAAATTCGAAACATTGGTCGAGAAAGTCGAAACATACGACGAGAAATTCGAAACATACCCAACTTTTTTTCGAGAAAGTCGAAACATGGGTCGAGCAAGTTCAAAACATAAGTCGAGCAGGGTCGAAGCATAAGTCAAGCACAGTCGAACACACCCAGTTTTTGTCGAGAAAGTCTAAATGTGCCCATTTATGGTCAAGAAAGCCGAAACATAGGTCGAAACCTTCAAATCATAGGTCAATAAAAAACAAAAAGTACCTAATTTTGGTCGAGAAAGTCAAAAAATAGGTCGAGCACAGTCGAAACAGAGGTCGATAATGTCAAAACGTACCCAATTTTGTCGGAGAAAGTCGAAAAATAGGTCGAGAACAGTCGAAACATATCAATGCGGGGTGTCGAACAAACAAAACTTGAAAACATGTCGATCGAGATAATCGAGAAAGTCGAAACATATCTGAACTGGGTCAAACAAAGTCGAAGCATACCCGATTTTGGTCAAGAAAGTCGAAACATAGGTCGAGAACAGTCGAACTTATCTATGCGGGGTCGAACAAACAAAGTTTTAAATATGTCGGTCGAGAAAGTCGGGATAGTCGAAACATACCCAAATTTGGTCGAGACGGTCAAAACATACCAATTTCTGGTCGAGAAATTCGAGAAACAAAAACCGAGCACCTCGTCCCGGGAATATACCACTAACGCATTATTGAACCACTAACGCACTGTGTTTAATGCACGATTGAACTACTACGAAGGAACTGGAATTGAGACTATGAGACAGACACTCTCTACTTGCCTTGTTCTGAGCCGTGACTTGGTCTGTGGCGTAGATCATCAACAGTTCCCTGCACAGGGCCAGGTTCTCCACCTGGGCTGCAATCATCAGGGGGATGGAGCCACTCTGAAAATAATTTATTCGAAGAATTACATTCAAATTACTATAATCAGTTTGTCTAGATAGGTTGATATTAGTTGATCTCTTTTGAAACTGTTCTATGCTTTGTTTTACGAAAGTTATCGAAAATATAAATAGAACAGTTTTTCCGACATCTTAAAAATTGTGGGTCAAAAGGTCACCCAGTGTTTTTGGTGTCCTGCAAAGAAATTAACATCTAACCAAAAACCCAGTTGCTAATTTTTTTCCAGAATTGTTTTAAAATTTTTTATCGCGAACAATTCGAGAGGCAAAACGGTAATCACAAATCCTTTCAAATGAAAAAAAAGTAGTTGAACTGGAGTAAATAGTCAACTTACAGCGTCTTCCGTGAGTCTGTGTTGTTTGCCTGCCCGGAAGTAGAGACGGCAGATGTCCAGTCCTAAGCCCACCCGCACACACGCATAGTGCATAGGGGTCAAGTCCAGACCCTGGATCAGACAGGTCACACATGTCACGACAGCATCAAATAGTGGGATGGGTCACAGATTTATTTTGAATGATGAAAATTTCAATAACTTGGGTTTTCTATGAATGAGAACAGCCCCAAGATTTTTTGTTTCCCTCCATTCAGCACTGACAAGGCAGTAGATAAAGGTTAGCTTTATTTTGTGTTTGGTTTTACCACGAAAATTCTCATTCAAGCCTTTCCATTCTGTAAGAGTTTAGAATTTTGTTTGGTGCGCGCTCCCCTTCAAAATTAGTATATATTGGCGTTTTAGGGTTAGTCGGCCGATAATCATGAAATGCCATGAAAAAATACCAAAGTGGGGACCTTTTGTTGGTGAGGGGGTCGAATCGCTGAGGAAGGTCGGGGGCGTCCGAACCCCCCCCCCCGCCAAAGGCGCCCCCTACTAAAGTATACGGTTTGGTAAGCGTTTGTGGCGTTGAAAGAGGGCAATGAGAAAATAGAAAAGCAATGTCAATCGGAGGGTACAGTCTAAATGTGATATGCAAGTACAATATAGTGGTGATATAGTGATGTGTGTACTCACATGTGTGGGAAGCATGAGTTGTTTGGGTCTGAACTGATTCACAACTGACACATTCATGTCATAGGAGGCGAACTGGGCGGCCACGTGGCAGATGGACCTACCGTCCTACACAAAGAACACAACAACAAAGACCCACACATTAGGAGATACAAGGGATGGTGGCTGCATTTTATTCGACACAAATTCATGTCAAACAGCGGACAAAATCTACATGTAATTCTTTGTTTTCATGTTTCCGTCTTGTATCAGACAACTTATACTCAAAATAAGGTTTCGTTTGTAATGCCTGTATTGGCTTGGTGCATATTTGAAAAAAAAACATGATATATTTTTTACATTATACAATCCCAAGCTCGGTTTTATAGCAGAGCACAAGAATAAGTTTGCCTCGCCTCCCATGGTTTCTATGTACTGATTTCACTATGTACATGAAATCCACAACATTACCAAATAATCCGAGTTTGGCGTCGTAATTTGACCTTTGTAATACTCAAAAACTTGACATGTTAATCACCATGCGTTAAAATATTATCTCAAAAACTACTGATTTCCTTTTCTACTAATGAGGGCGCTCACTTCTCTTAGTGAACAGATTAGCCCTGAATATTTATACTTACATGTGCCCTGTGTAGAATGTCTGCGCCGGACTCCACCAGACGGAAGAAAATCTCCACTTGACTGCTGGCCACCACGTAGAACAGCACGGTCCACCCAGAGTTCTGCAAAGAAAAACCATAGTCATCTATCATATGTGTAAAGAGTTCTGCACAGAAAAACGCTAGTCATCTATTATATGTGTAAAGAGTTCTGCACAGAAAAACCCTAGATATTTATCATATGTGTAAAGAGTTCTTCACAGAAAAACGCTAGTCATCTATTATATGTGTAAAGAATTCTGCAAAGAAAAACCATAGTCATCTATCATATGTGTAAAGAGTTCTACACAGAAAAACTATAGTCATCTATCTCATATGTGTAAAGAGTTCTGCGCAGAAAAATCATAAACATCTGTCGTATGTATGAAGAGTTCTATGCAGAAAAATCAGAGCCATTTGTTATGTCTGTAAGCATAAGAGCGTGCAAGTTAAAAAAGCCTTCAATCTTTTACCTGCTTTCGCCTTTTTCTGCCTTAGCAAATCTTTAAAAAAAGTTCTCAAGTGCCATTTTGTTCAGACACGCTGGTAACACCTTATGTGATATTTTTCCGAAAAACTGTCGCTAATTGGTAAAACACTTCAAGAGATGGGCGGGTTGAAAGTTATAACTATTAGATCGATTGTGTAAAAAAAAACTAGAAAGGGAACTAAACTAAACATTTGTGTCTATACCTTGTCCTGGGTTCTGAGTGCTGGATCGTGCATCTGGACAATGGGGAGATACTTGAACATGCTGCTCCACTCGCCCCCCTTGGCCAACTTCAACAGCAGATACTCGTCCAAATGGGGGGCATCATCCTCCTCTCCCTCCCCCTCCCCCTCCACCTCACCCTCCCCTTGTCTTGTCCCTGGTCGGGTGGAAGCACGTCTGCTGCCTCCGAGTGTAGTTGGGACATCATCAAACTCAACCTCTTTCAATCCTGTTGTTCAAAGGAAGGCATCATTATTTCCAGGACAAGAGTTTCAACGTGCTCGCAATCAGTAAAACTAACCTTGCATTCAACTATCGCAAGTAAATTTGCAGCTGTGATACAAAAAACCTTTTTAAACGCCAAATAATTGATTTTATTTTATTTCAGTTTAACTGTTACCGATTGCATTTTAGACTCCATTAATCGATTCGATAGTTAGAGACATATTATCTCGCTGAAGCAAAATAGGTAAATTGTAGATAAAACTTTCATGCGACCTTTCAATTCACTTTTAGTGCTGATGTTTCTACTGTGAAGAAACTATTCAAACCAAAAGTAAAAGAAAATTTTGCAGGAAAAATCAATAGTTCTAATGAAATAAGCCAATTTTTGGTCACTTTTTTAAAAGAAAAGTGCGTTTAAATACTGTTCTACGCAGTGGTATTGAAAAAATTTTGATTTGATTGTAACTTTTTCCACCGCGGGAGCTCTTGATCAAAAAAATTCTAAAATATCTCACGAAGCTCATGGTTTGCAGTAGCAACTCTTCTCAAATGACTATTACTTGATGTAAAGTTTGCAGTAGCATCTCTTCTCAAATTATTTTAAAAATGCTTGTCTACATAATCTTTTTCCCTGCTTCAACTAACATGCTTTTGAAAACTCGAAGCAAGAGTTTTAAACCTCAGAAGCTTAATTTAGTAATTGCTTTTGTTCAAAACTTGAAAAAGTCTAGAAGAAAAAATCCTTTGACAAGAGTTGCTACAGCTTGTAATAAAACAAAAAACAGCTTGTAATACATTTTTCATGTTTGAAAAATTGCTTATGATACAACTTCAAAATAAAAAAGATTGTCATAGAGTTTAAATATATATATTTTTTGTGCTTGGAGCTGTAAGAATTTGTGGGATAAAAATGTTTCTCATACGTAAATATTGTTTGACTAGAAGTTTTGGTCAACCCGGGTTGTTTTAGAAATTGGTCGAAACAGCTGGAAATGTATGTGCAAAAACCCGTTAAAATCCTGCAAAATTTTGGCAAGCATTGCAGAAAATTAAAAACTGGTCACGAAAAAATTTGCAATATTCAATCGTGGACATGTTAGCAGAACAAAACAAGGATAGCCGGTTTCTGTGTACTGTGCAAGTAGCACAGAATGTTCCGACCAATTTTTAAAAAAAAAAAAAAAGGTTTTCTCAAATTGGTGTCGTTTTTTTTCTGAGTGTTGTGATACAAAAATCTGAACGAAAAATGAGAACTTAGGCAAATTTGAGAGTCATAGTAAAATATATCAATTGGGAAACAATTTTTGAAAAAATATGATCAGAAAAATAAAAAACAATTTTCAAATTTTTCATTTCCAAAATTGCACAAAAAACTCCGGAAAACTGCCTTTACTTGAGTAAAACTATGTTTTCAAGACTTAAATTAGGCTAAAACATGCTATTGCAATTACTAACAACCTTACTAATCAGCTCGAAAATAAAACCAAAAATCAAAAATTTCAAACCGGTTTTTCTCAATTGGAGGGCTTTATTGTGATATATCACTCTACCCTGTACGATGATTATTTGTGGTAGCTGATTTTGCGTGGAAAACAGAAAAAAACTAAACCAAGCCCGAATACAAAAATCCTCCCCGTTTTCAATGGTCGGAACAAAAAGCGACAGATGATCTCAAACAATTTAAAAACTCTGCACTCTGCTTTTTTTTGCTTTTTTAGGATAAGATTAAAAAATCAAATTAACGATAATTTTTTTCATTTAAATAAGTATATTACAACACAACTGCGTTAGAAAAATTACCATCACACTAGATTGTAATTGACTTTTATACCGTAATAGATATATAATTGACTTCCTATCAGTAAAAAAAATGATTGTATGATAATATAAGCATTTTTATAAAGCTCAACGTAATTGGTTAAAATAATCCAAACAAAATTATAAAGAGAAAAAATGATTGTATGATAATATAATCATTTTTATAAAGCTCAACGTAATTGGTTAAAATAATCCAAACAAAATTATAAAGAGAAAAAATGATTTTTTTTGCTGTATGAATTCTGTTTAAAATATCCCAGAATCTGCATATTTCCGACTACATGTCTAAAAAGTGGGATTTTCTGTCTTCATAATTTTTTTCCCTGCTTCAACAAGCATGCTTTTGAAAACTCGAAGCAAGAGTTTTAAACCTCACAAGCTTAATTTAGTAATTGCTTTTGTTCAAAACTTGAAAAAATCTAGAAGAAAAAATCCTTTGACAAGAGTTGCTACAGCTTGTAATAAAACAAAAAACAGCTTGTAATACATTTTTCATGTTTGAAAAATTGCTTATGATACAACTTCAAAATAAAAAAGATTGTCATAGAGTTTAAATATATATATTTTTTGTGCTTGGAGCTGTAAGAATTTGTGGGATAAAAATGTTTCTCATACGTAAATATTGTTTGACTAGAAATTTTGGTCAACCCGGGTTGTTTTAGAAATTGGTCGAAACAGCTGGAAATGTATGTGCAAAAACCCGTTAAAATCCTGCAAAATTTTGGCAAGCATTGCAGAAAATTAAAAACTGGTCACGAAAAAATTTGCAATATTCAATCGTGGACATGTTAGCAGAACAAAACAAGGATAGCCGGTTTCTGTGTACTGTGCAAGTAGCACAGAATGTTCCGACCAATTTTAAAAAAAAAAAAAAAGGTTTTCTCAAATTGGTGTCGTTTTTTTTCTGAGTGTTGTGATACAAAAATCTGAACGAAAAATGAGAACTTAGGCAACTTTGAGAGTCATAGTAAAATATATCAATTGGGAAACAATTTTTGAAAAAATATGATCAGAAAAATAAAAAACAATTTTCAAATTTTTCATTTCCAAAATTGCACAAAAAACTCCGGAAAACTGCCTTTACTTAAGTAAAACTATGTTTTCAAGACTTAAATTAGGCTAAATTATGCTATTGCAATTACTAACTACCCTACTAATCAGCTCGAAAATAAAACCAAAAATCAAAAATTTCAAACCGGTTTTTCTCAATTGGAGGGCTTTATTGTGATATATCACTCTACCCTGTACGATGATTATTTGTGGTAGCTGATTTTGCGTGGAAAACAAAAAAAAAACTAAACCAAGCCCGAATCCAAAAATCCTCCCCGTTTTCAATGGTCGGAACAAAAAGCGACAGATGATCTCAAACAATTTAAAAACTCTGCACTCTGCTTTTTTTTTTTGCTTTTTTAGGATAAGATTAAAAAATCAAATAAACAATAATTTTTTTCATTTAAATAAGTATATCACAACACAACTGCATTAGAAAAATTACGTTTACACTAGATTGTAATTGACTTTTATACCGTAATAGATATATAATTGACTTCCTATCAGTAAAAAAAATGATTGTATGATAATATAAGCATTTTTATAAAGCTCAACGTAATTGGTTATAATGTTCCAAAAAAATTATAAAGAGGAAAAATGATTTTTTTTCTTGTATGAATTCTGTTTAAAATATCCCAGAATCTGCATATTTCCGACTACATGTCTAAAAAGTGGGATTTTATGTCTTCATAATTTTTTCCCTGCTTCAACAAGCATGCTTTTGAAAACTCGAAGCAAAAGTCTTAAGCCTCAAAAGCTTATTTTATTAATTGCGAGATGCTACTGCAAGTTTTACATCAAGAAAAAGTCACTTGGGATATTTATAGGATTTTCCAGATCAAGAGCTCCCGCGGTAGAAAAAACTGCAATCAAGCCAAATTTTTTTCTATACCACTGCTTAGATCAGTTTTTAGGCGCACTTTTGTATTGAGAAATCGACAACATAATCTTTTTCTTTGCTACAACAAACATGCTTCTGAAACATAATCTTTTGAAACATTTCGAATTGACAGTCTGGAAGTTATTTGCGAGCCAGCTCTCAAAAATACTTCTAGCTTGAGGGTATACCACTAGTACAAAATAATATTAGATTTTACTACATAGTAGAAAAGCGAGTAGAAGTTTTAGAGTAGAAAGCTACTTAGAAACTTTACTTCATATAACTGACTATTTGAACCAAAACAATGAGATAGATGCCAGTTAGAAACTTTGAGTTTTTGATACAGCGGAGCCTAGGAAATTGGAGCCTCGGTCTTAGTGGAGTTTCCAAAACTTCCGCTAATTTTGCCCTTTCAAAGGCTCAAGTTTCAGTTCGTCTATACAAATTTGTTTTGTGTAAAAGCCGCTAATGCAATATTTTCAAATTATCATGGTAATGATTTAACAACAAATGAATCATCAGCAAGCGATATATATGACAACGTCGCTCAAATTATTCAAAATTGCATAAGGATGTCATAGATTGGGTATGTTTGGATTTTGTGCTCGACTTAAAATTAGTTCTCGACCGCGGAATTTCAGTGGCAAAACTGCACTTGCTCGACCTTCAAAGTCGAAACATAAGTCGATTACCTCAACCGGGGAATAGTCTAAAAAGGATAAACGGAGGAAACTGATTGAGAGGAAATCAAAGAAGTGGCAATGGGAACAACCTGGTTTTCACGCCCATTCTTAACTACCTTCGTAACTCGCTACACAAAAACTACATAATTACAAAATAGGTACAATTTACTAATTATGGCAACTGGAAAAATGTGATATTTCGCAACCAAATCCTTAAATTAATCTTCTGACTATACCTAAACTTGGTTCGAAGAAATTGAATCATGAGACAACAATCCATGCATGAATCGGAAACATCGAACCGTTTTCTCAAGCTGGGACTAATCCGATTGTCCATGGATTGTTTTCTGCTTTTCCAATAAAAACTTTGATAACTGTTGGGAATGCATAGAAAATTCAAATTATTCCCACTTTTTCTCTGGACGTAAATATTCAAAATCTTGACCAGGTTAATGGAAAGTTAGCATCGTTTGCGCCAGCTTTCTTGCAACCACCCGAAGTTAAGGCAGATTATGAGATAAAGTGTTGAACAAAGATGATTTCAGTGTAAATGGAAGACGAACCTGCTTCCGAAGGGATGAGGTATGTGTCCATGTCATTCGGATCCCCCATTGTCCAAATAACCACTTCTTTATGTCAAGTGCAATCAATTTATGATAAATTTACTTGTTTCAATTTCTGGTCTGTTTTCAAACACTATTTTGACACAATTTTGTTCATAAGCTCAGCTTTTCCAAACAGATATAACGATGTTTCAATCGTATGAATTGAAATGAATATAAAATCAATACCAATTGAAGCAAAAAATGTTTCTCTTTTTTTGAAAACCAGGGGCGACAAATTGATGTACTAACAAAACAACATCAAAATACACTTTTAAATGCAGTTAAAAATGAACTTTTTGCATATAAACAAATATATTTGCGCATGCACGTTATTATGAGTTAAACAGAGAGACGATTGTATTTTTTCTGCTGTTTTTGAAGCAATTCAAAATTGTCATTCATTATTTCTGAGCTTAATTTTTGATTTTGAGTGCATAATATTGTGCCGAGAGAGAAAAGCTCGAAGCTCTGTAAGTACATGCCAAAATCTGACAATCGGCTTGATTAAACAGTTTCATGCCAGGTGGTAATTTCAATTATAAAACCAGTTGCTATCTACAGATCGATAACTGCTTGTTTTAGTTTCTCATCGTGCTTTTCCGACAGCAAGTATACAAGAAGCTTTGATTTCATCGCTACATAACCCGCACTGACAAAAATGATTTTGGGTCCATTTAAATTGACTTTAAATCAATCTAAATCAATTAAACATGTAAAAATAAGGAATCATATTCCCCTAAATTCATCCAAATCTTACTTAAATCCATCTGAATCTCGCTAAAATGCATATGAATTCATTTTGAACGGCTCTTGATCACTTTTATTGTCTAAAAATTATATTTTAAAACAATTGAAGTCAATTTTTTGCTAAAATTTGGTATACAACATTTTATTTAAAACCATGACAATAATATTTTATATTATATTATTAATATTAAGACTATTAATTAATTTTTTTATCAGTATTATCAATGAAAATCAGAATTCAAGCAAAATCTATGTAAGAAATCAGGCAAATGGTCTATATAAATGGTATAGAGGAAACTTAGCATAGTGGTAAGGCGTTCACTTTGAAATTGTCAGATCTTAAATTCGACCCCATGACATGGCATTGTTAGTCTGAGAGGATGAGCTGTTACTTGACCTCTAGCTTCAGGTCTATCACAGCCTGACTAATTTCGGCTGCAATAGTGGTACCACGTGAAAGTTCTAGACGCAAAAAAATGGCTTCGAGTCGCAAAAAAGAGCTTCACTCAACAAAATAACAGTTTGGAATGTGGGGAGATAATATAAACGGGCTATCCTCAATAGGAATGTTCAGGCGTACTGCTAGCTCCTTTGCGAATTGCAGGAACAGATTATTATTTATTATAAATCAGGCTGCAAACTCAAAATTATGCAATGAAATCAGAGAAAACCGTCAGTTTAAACCTGACTTTGAGCAAAAATTTATGCATACAATGAACAAACTGTCCAATAACAATCAAACTTTGTGCTCAAAATTTTGCATTTAATTCAATAAAAAAGCATCAGTCCATTTAAATCATCAATCAAACAAAATGATCAATATAAAACAAGTTTCAAGATAAAAAAGAGTGCAATTGAATCAAAGAAATCATATCAACATTAATCAGATTTTGGCTGTAACCTATGTTTAAAATCAAATGTCGATTAGTAAATCAGATTCCGAGCTCAAAAACTTGCAATAACATTGTCAAAAACCATCTATTTAAATCAGAATTAGAGCAAAAACCCATGTAACAAATCGAGAGAACAGTCAATTCAAAATTTTGAGCTCAAAAATATGCAGCGAAACGCTGAAAAACTTAAAATTTTTTTCAAAATGTTATCAGACACTACGATATTTTCATAGCGAGGGTCAAAGATAAAAAAAAAGAAAAAGTTTGGGCAAAAATAAATGCCAAACCCACTTCAACAAATGCGAAAGAAAAAATCAAAAAAATCTGTTAGAATCCCCTAAAAACAAAGACAAATGAAAACTGGAAAAGATGAATTTGCGTCAACATAAGACCGATATGAGAAAGTTTTTTTTAGCATGTTTTTTTGATCAGCTCACATCAATTTCAATTTGCTTCAAATCAACCTGAGTTTTTTCTTCTTAGTCTTCGTATTTTTTTATACTGAAACCAATCTTAATCCGTTTTTGGAAGTACTGGAACCCCTCTTGCCTGTGTCTTTATGCATGGAGGGGTCATATTAGATAAAGGGGCTGTTAAATATAATTTTATACTATTCGGCAAAAACTCATTTAGTATATTACACATCTGACTTATAATTCAAGTTTTCAAGTTTTACAGAAAAACTATCGCTTTCAGGAAGTTGTCTATAAGGCCAGCTATGTATGTATTGAAGTTATGAGCTCATATGCTAACTTTTATGGTACTTAGATAATTGAAAACATTCGAAAATAAAAAAACTGGCAGTAAATACGAAATGGTAGAGACCACAGTTTTTTTTGGCTTTTTCTCATTTTCCCTCCATTTGCGATATTTTACAAAAAAAATTTTTGGCGGTGCTTCACTCCCCCTCACTCTTTCACATAAATATCAAATTTATGGACTAATAAGAGTGTTTTACAAAAGGGTAAGTTTGAAGACCAAATGTCTTCCAATCTTACGCTTTTTATCCTTTGTACGCTGTGAACAAAAAACTGTTTGTAAAAGTTCTCAGGTTGGGAAAAAGAGTAGGAGCATTTTTTTTTCTTTGAACTGGTCCAATTGTTTCAAAAGATGGTCTGTGGACTTATTCGGTCATGACGAACATATTCTGGTAAATTATCTTGTAAATACCTAGTGTCACCACAAAAAAAAACTGCTCATGTGAGTTGAAGGGAAAATTTTTCCTTCTTTTTTTTGCGTGCAAGTAGGGCTATTGTTCCTTTCACGGACCTGCGAATTCTTACAGGTAATTATTTGGTTCAAATTGTCCGTCTGTATTGAAATTCCATGCGGACTAAAAAGGTCACGGCTAATACGTTTAGTCTTCATGTTCAACTTTTGAAAGCCTCTGTTACATTTTGAGCGGTTTTTGAGCGGGATCTCGACCCGGGCACAACATTGAAGCTCGTGAGAGGTGGGGGGAAGAGCCGCATACTGTTGTATGCCCAAAATTCAGATAAACTATGAGCTTTCTTTTCCAGTTTTCACCCCCTCTGAAAACTACAACACAAGTAGTATTGTATCGTGTACCGGATCCTAAGGGGGGTCCTTCCTAAGGGGGAGGAGGGTGGTCCTCACGTAACGCGCTAGGAAAGGAGTCCTTAATTTTTTGGAGGACCCCTATCCTAGGATTTTGTGAATGGACGTTTTACCACCCCTAAAGTAAAAGAACCCCTTCCTAGGATCTTGTTAAGCTGAGCTTAACAACCCGGATCCGTTACAACAATTCTTTCTAATTGCCTTTAAAGCGGTCCCATTTCCCGCAATAACTAAATTTAACCGTCCTTAATCCTGAATTTTTCGTTTTTGTCCTAGTTTTATGTGGATGTCATTTCCTGGCTTTCTTTTTTTCGTCAAAGAGTTTTCATGCTAATTACAATTTGTTATTAAAGCTGAGCCGAATGATTTAACACATTTGTTTGAACTAACACTTTGTTTGCGTCAACTATTTAGTTTGCCTGAAGCTATTTATGTTGAAACAGTTACTGAGCCCAATAGGAATTTTTTATTAGCGGTAAATTGGTAAAAACCAAAACAAGTTTAAGCTAAAGTAAAAAAAGGACGAGCTGTAAAAATCAACTCAAAATATATGTTTCAGAATAAAATATTTATTGTTTTGGTTTTCTTTTCGCTGTTTTAACATGGTCTTTCTTCTGACGCTTTAGATAAAATAAATGGATTATTTACAGTAGACGTTCACGGTTTCAGCTACTAGAAGCTTCTTCTTTTCGCAGCTCTGTTTCTGAGTAGGGACGTTGTAAAAATCCCCAATCCGGAAGTTGAAATTTGGGCGAGCTGTTATCATCTTCCTTGTATGAGTTGGCACATTCGATGTCCGCGTAAATATTTCTAAAAATGCATTTCTTCGGCGGTTTTATGGCCAAAGGGAACTGTCGAAATCCCGTCGAAACGTAGAAAACGTACTGAGTCGAATTGTGATGAAGCAAGTTTGTTTAGTTTCACTGTGAAATGAGTGTGACCTTTCGAAACTATAAATAGTTGTACACTCTCCTTGTTTTTCCTGTGAATACTGTGTCCCTGAGGGTTTTTGGACCAGTTCTCGCTGTGCACTCCGTTTTATTCCCTTTGCACTCAATTTTCGGGTGCCTTTTCAGCAGAAGGAAAGTTATTATGATTTTCTACAAGGCAGGGGACAGTTTCAATTCATTTCAGCAAACGAATTTATACCGAACAAAGTTTCATTCATTTCTACCAAAGAGCAAAAGACTCTAAATTATGATTAAAAAAGAGGAAAAGGGAAGAAATTTGTTTTCAGATACTTCAACATTTGGGTCACTTGGTAAAACGTTGCCAAAGTCAGCCAAATTAAGGGGGGAGGGAGGGAGGTTGGTGGTGGTTGTGGTACTTTTTTTCTGTAAAAATGTAGGAATGGGGATGAAGGGGTGGCTTAAGTTGGGATTTTGTTTACCATTAGGTAGGACCGAATAAATTTTCGGCTTTAGGACGATGAATTCTTTGATCGGCTTCCCACCAGTCTCGTCTTTAAAATTTAGCACGACTTCCTGTTGGTATCGTCGAACAGGAAATGGTCCTAATCAGAATTTGAAAAGTCAAAATCAGCTTTTTTTTCTCTAAGAATTGGTAAACGTCGTCAGTTTTTATAGCATAATTAAAACTATCCATGTTGGAGTATAATATTTCCAGAATGAGATTCGTTTTCATTTTTCTTTGTTTTCATTTTTCGTTTTCATTTTTCTTCAAATTGAAACATGAACGCTTGGCGATGTCTAAGACGGTAGCACCAATTACCATAGGTTTGTCCCTAAAATTTTTCTAAGTGGAAGCTGATTGTGGTTAATTGATCGTAAATTATATGAAAGCTCTTAATTATACTCAGAGCTGTTTTTTGAAGAAGTTCTCTATCATTCCTTACAACCTCCAGCTTCTTTCTTTCTAACTTGGACTCCAATCTTTTACCGAATGCTGAATTAACAATTAGTTTGTAAAAGTTCTCCTGGAATTCGTTTACGTCAGTCTTACGCAAGCGGGTGTTGAGGCCGACAAAGGGTGCCATCCAGTGACTTTGGCGGAACTGAAGAACTTTTCCGAGGTGAGTTATTTTCAACCACAACTTATGGTACATTTTTAGATTAAAGTAAGACAAAACATAGCCTTCTTTAGGACGTTAAGTCT